TCAGGAGACACAGAGAGGCGGTTTTATTACAGGGTAGCGACGCACAGACAAAGTCATCATCAGAAGATGAGGCGATGTAAATTACAAGAATGAACACGGAGATAGTGTCTGGAGAAGACTGAGAGAGACGATGTCGTCAGAAGACAGCAAACAAAGAACTGCTGACTGCAGCATCTATGAATACTTATCACCTTTGTAAACTATGAGAGTGAGCTAAGATGGCACTACGGCTGAATCATAGATTGCATGCCCTATACCAGCAAGCTCTCGCGGTAAGTGGACACTGAACAGTGAACACTGGACAGTTGACAAGTCACCAGAAGGCGGAAAGGAAGTGCTAATGTCCGGGTCGGCGACTCTGAGAAGTGATGATCACTAACGGCGCCGTCGGACGCCATCAGACACCACCCTTGTCACCACGCTATCCGGCTAACCGCACCGTCACCACCCTCACCAGCGCTGACCACAACATCAGTCGGGGAGCGCCCCTCCAGAACCCGCCGCCCCAGAAACCCCGCGGCGATCGGTCAGTGAGCCATCTCTGCCCCGCTGTGGTCACAGCGACCAGCCGCGGGCGGCGCCCACTGCGGCTCGCCGCTGCTTCCGGAGTCGGTGCGATGCATCACTACTGACGGAGCTCCTCTCTCGGTTCGCGGAGGACGCCCCCTGTTAGGAGGTAGTGGAGGGGACAGAGGCGGCGAGTGGACAGAGGAGAGGGGGAGGGGTAGCCGGACGTACCGACCACAGCGGGATGGGGGAGGGGAGGGGGAGTCAGCGGGAGGGCAGCGCGAGCCAAGGTGGGAGGGACCGCATGCCAGAGCGATGCACCGCGTGTTACGGATTCCCCGGACATGGACAGAGGATGAGAGCGGCGGGTTTGGAGCGAGTGTGATTCCTGGGCCATTCCGGTGGTTGTGAGGTGTCTTGGCGGAGGCGACGGTGAGTCGATAGATCGGAATGAGCTATTTGCATGGCAGGCTCCGTGTCAAGATGAAAATGAGCTATGGGAATCTGATTGTTTTTGCATTTACAGCTTTATGCCGTTTGTAGTAATTTGACTTTTAAAGTGATCGCCTGTCATTTTAATCCAATAATCAGTAGTTCATTCGCACTTCGTATGCAAGACCTTGGAGGCTTGTTGCCGGCTGCCAATCAAATACGAATGAAAAGGAACATCATACTGCATGTTTGCCTTCTTAAATGCAGAGATGAGCCGCTACCATACAATTACATTGCTGGAGTAGCTGATAGGTAGTATGATAGGTCAGTGCTAATTAGAACCATTCCAACGAATGGTCATACATAAATCACCATTGCACAAACATGCACATATGCATAATTTCGATTGCTTATTTAGTCAAACAGCCTATATCTTTTTCTTATGAGCGGTTACCTTACATATTTCGGATAGAACCATAAAAGGTGTCTTCAGCAGCAAGTCTATACCGCTTAGCTAAAAAATGACGTGCTTTAAAGTTAGCAGCAGATGCCGTGCTTTATTGAATTTATTTCCCGGTTCGTAAGGGTCAAGGAAAGTTTAAGTATTATCTATCTCAGCCTCCGAAGGAAAAGCGTGCAGCCAATAAATCTAACAACAAGGCGATGCTTAATTTTATTTTATCTACGAGTGTTCGCTTGTCTGAAAGAAACGACATTCTTGTTTTCAGAAGGAAACTATGTAAGCAAATTCGATGCATGATACGGGTTTGGAGTGGACATGTTCTTGTCTAGAGAGCTCAAAGAGCGTTATAAAATTGAATCCACGGCCAAGTCCTTCTATCAAGTAATAAAAGGTTTTCATAAGGGTTTCATGACCTCAATGTACTAAGGAAAACTCAAAACATCTATTGATATTTTCAAATTTGTTGTACGTATATATTATATCTTTATGCATATTAGATCTCCAGCACCTACCTACCTACCTCGCTAATGTAGACACTGTTATAGGTGCAAAATATTTATGCACTACCAAATTCATTTGAAGTCGGTTTATATGCGACACGTGTTTATAATAATAAACACTGTTACATTATAAAATCAGAACTTTTTAAATATTTATCACCCATAGGTCTATGACATAACTTTCGTATCGAAGTGGTGGATCCTCTCAGAGCTGCCCCGTTATAAGACGCTCAATTGCAATAGCCAAGTGACGATCGATATTCATATAAATAATTCATGACGGTTGCTTGAGTTGCAGAAGGTTCGTAGTCATAACCATCAGTATGCTTAAATGGATTGGTTTTGGTATTGCTACCCAAAAATACCAAATCAACGCTTAAGAGCCGTAGTGGAGAAGTAGGTACTCAAATTATCCTCCGTTTCCAGACGGGCACGCAAATCCGTCTAAGCAAAGCAGTCAGTCAAATTGTTCAGCGCGCACATTTTGGTCGGCGGGCTAATTGAGTTAGAATCTGTGTAATGGACAGCTGTCACTCATAACCACCGTTTAAGCTAAGGCTCTTCTCCTACCTGCGTATATTACTTAGCCATAACACGGATGATCGGACTTAAAAGTACGTCAAACCACGGTGCACAGACGTCTAAGCTGTCTCGGATGGCGTAAAGACACCTATTCAACAGGACGTAATCTGCAAACTGCGTGCTACCACGTGTCCTGAATCGGAGTCATATATCAAGGGATTAGTTATAACTCTTCTCTGATTGTACTCTGTGTCACGGCGAGTGGCAGGCCGTCGCAGCGGCCCGGCAAAGCCGGAAATATGTATGCTTAAACGATCGTGATAGCGCAGTAGGAACATCAAACGGGAGCGCCGCCGTGATGTGTGTCCGGTGGCATGGCACAGGGCGCCAAGCGCCGGGTTTCGGGGGATTTCATGAAATAACCGGGGCTGGGTCGTGAGAAAGAGTTCCTCGGATAATATGAGAATTTATTCGGCAACGTAAGAAAATTAGAAAGGCCAAACTAAAATATGACAGCGATACACCATCCACAGAGATTAGAGAAAGAGGGAGAGAAAGAGGGAGGGAGGGAGAGAGAGAGAGAGAGAGAGAGAGAGAGAGAGAGAGAGAGAGAGAGAGAGAGAGAGAGAGAGAGAGAGAGAGAGAGAGAGAGAGAGAGAGAGAGAGAGAGAGAGAGGAGAGACCCGAGGCTGCCGCTGAACTTCACTATCGGCTTGCCGTTTGAGAATTACTGCCGGTCCTATCTGTCAGATTACTGAGCCGAGCGTTATTGGGTTCGCTCGGCGTTCGATAGCGTCCTGTGCTACAGCGACATGGGGAACCTTCCGAGTGGAAGGACGCATCGGACAACACACACCGCTAGAGGTTGGGCCGGATCAGACCATTTGTCGCGACGCTGTTGGGTGAGTAGAACGAAGTGGTTTAGAGGTAAATGGCAGATATCGAGGAGGTGTCAAAACTGGGATTGGACCCGATTTGTCATCAGAGAACGCTGATGAAGCGAGAGAAATATAAAAGAAACCCTTCAGGTTAGAAAAATTGTAGTACCTACTGTGAAAATTTAAGGACACTTCGGGAACTGATGAGCGATGTTTTGTTTGTGAATAGATTAGTACGATTGAAAACAAAATATTAAATTGTCAAGCATTATATGCTTGTACTTTTATTGACAACACTTTGTAAATGTTAATTCTCATAAATAGTTAAAGACCTGAAATTATTATGCAAAATGTAAGATGTGACGGAGGCAAACGCGTTCGTTTTGAATTCAAGTCTTTTACACCACGACCCCTGTAATTCAATTGGTCTCATGGCCAGTACAGAGGGGGCCACATTTTTGGAATAGCTCGACGATATGATAGTATTTCGGGTAAAATAGATTATGCTAATTGGGCGGCGGATCGGCGTTGGCTATGAAGGCAGCGCAGAAATAACAGACAGCTGGCCAATTCAAATACAGCGCAGACCACAGCTCAGCACTAACTCGTCCTCCCCGACGTTCGGGCGGGGTGCAGGCTCTCCGGGCACAGCGGAACCGAGAGTGTTCCTCATTGAACGCTCCAGTCCAGACCCTCGTATAAATGAGACTGAACAGACTGTTCAGTGTTCAGTCCCTTGTATTTTTGCCTGATGATATTAACTACTGGATAGTTGCAATCCGATGTGTTCAATGTGTTGCATAGTGACCATCAGCAGCGCCAATCAGTTAGATTGTAAAATTGGTGAGCTATTTTGTTTCTATCCTATATGCAAGCATTCTGCATGTTGTTGGGTGATTGATTTGCCTACGAAGCGGCAGCTTCACTAAAATTCGTGTTTCTGCATTACTCAAATGGTGCACGCCGTGCCAAAATATGGCCCGTGACAGCCGTGTCTGGTAATGGTATAACTGATATACATCGTGCGATAACTACGATAGTAAGGCAAACTATATCGGAACACATCGGATTAGCGTGTGCCCGCTACCGTAAACGTTCATGTTTGCAGCTGCGGAACACTGACACGTTCACAGCATCTTATCATCGCTGCAAAAATACAAGTGTTTGTTGATATGATGTAAACACTGCGGTAGTTTTTTCAATGCACTGCAATAGCATCGCTCCGTTATTGGATGTGCCAGGTCCAAATGGTGTCGGCACCAGTTGGTTTAACCGTTGCAATAAAGCAACTGACAAATAATTTTCTCATTTGCATTCAAATCCCACAGGTGCGTTTAATGCGACTTGTTTAACTCTTCATATTTAAACGTTATCTTTGCCCAAATTCTTCTTATTTGTAGACGTAATTACACGTTTCATTTTGTATGTCATATCTAATTTGTTTCACATTCTTAAGCATTTATTTAACTGGTAATTGTTTTCAGGTAAGTAACATGAAAACTTTCACTCTAACCCCCTGAGACAGATGGCCAGACGCAAAACTCTTCTGCTATCTTGTTCAGTCGTCTCCGGCGAGGCTAAGCTTACGGCTAATCAGGGAACTCCGAGGCCCGGCCGAAGTTACGGGGGCCGCCTGCAGTCTGTCCCTGACCACCCCAGTGCTCGCTGTTACACAGGCCCTCTCAGAGGCCCACTCACCTGAACATAGAACTCCACACAGCGCCGCCGCCAGTAGCGACAACAGAAAACTCTTCAGCATGGTGCCGGTCTCTGGAGGACGTCATTCACCTCAAACGGCCCGGCAATGTCCCGACCGCGACCCGGTCTCGGCTCGCGGCACTGTCTCAGCGCGGCCCACCAGAGCTGCCGCGCATCGCTCTCCGTTCCGGAAATCACACGTGGCGCACCGCCCGACGTGCTCTCCGACCCAGCCAGCACGCCCGCGGCCCCGCCTCGCGCGAGCACGCCCGCTACGCCCGCCACGGCCGACCGACTGTTGTGCTCGGGCGGCGGGCCGGGCGCGCGCCCAGCCCCTGGCGGCCGCCGGGCGAACTAGGGAGACTCTCACGCCAGAGTAGGGGATAACACCATCGGCACACTCCGACGATCGTCTGCTCTGAGAATCTCACAGGCCGTGATGATTCGTGAACACGACGGCTCTGCGCGGCCATGGGGTTCGTAGCCGGTGACACAATAGCCCGATTAGCTGTCGACAATGTCCGACCGTGATAAATGAGCGTCGACTCGATCTCACGGAGCCGCGGAGACGCCCGTGCCGCCCCCGTTGTGATTGCGGCTGGTTGTTCGAGATGTGTAGCGCCGCGCCGCGCCCGAGAGACCCGCTGATTGAAAACGGATGTCGCACTGCCATTTCTTGTGAGAGCTCAGCGTCGGCGCAATCCGATGAGCTTATGAGGCTTATGCTCGGTGCTGGCGGATACACAGCTTTAATAAGGCTGCACCTAAGTACGAACCAGTCTGGGCGCCGCAGCTAATACCTTTTAATCAGATTTACCGTGGCCAGGTGTTTAGAGGCAGACTCCACTAAACTCTCAAAGGCTGCAGCTTCTACCTTGCTGGAGATCTTGATAACGCAACTGAACTATCCTATATACATGCAACAGAACATTATCTTACGTCGTTACAACGCATTATAGTTTGAAGGAAGCTTTAATTGCTTCCCTAAATGTAAAAATAGAATAGCATGGCAACGTTAATTAAAATTTGCCATGTTCATTGAACGCTCCCCACTTTCTACAACTCATAATATTGCTGTTAGTTTGTTAGTTTAACAGTCAGTCGCGGCTTGTTACGCCTGTGCATGTTTCATTAGGCCATGCTGTCGCCGGAATTTTAGTTGGAGCCAACAGCGTGTCGATGGGATGCTACATACCATGAATTCTCGGCGAGCGTGTCACGTGGTGGCTCCGTCAGCTGACAGTTCTGAGTACAATTCTGGCGCACCGCCAGTGCCGCAGTCGGCAGCGCCCCTTCACTGTCAGCCGGGTCCGCGAAAGGTCCACGCCGCGCAGCTTAGCGTAAGAGACGCCGAACTCTGAGCTGCGACCTGCCAGCTAAATGGCAGGTGAAATGAAGCCGAGGTTTTGTCATCTTTATTGGAGGATGGCCAGGAGACTGGTCACGGTTTCCAATCTCGCTCGGCGCGTGGCTAATCCGTTCAGGAGCGCGCCCGTGCGGTACGGCAGAGGCATGGAGTGGCTGTCAGCTTATATTCGTTATCAAGTGACCGCGGGGAGATTGTGATCGGAGGCCCGCAGAATCGTGACCAGAAGAATGTACGGCATGTGCATCAAAGCTGGGCTATTACGGAACGATGAGGGTATTATGCATTTAGAGTCCGGATGCTGAGGACAAAAATGCGAATAAAAGTATCAGCACTGAAGCGCTCTTCGGCCTTCTTGGATGTTCTTCTCGAAACTTACCGGAGCCTCCTTAGTGCAAAAGAAAAAAAATTAACAAACATTCCAGTGGCTTTGATACTGCAGCATTGCAAAAAAGGAACCATCGAATCAAAGACGCCTAAAGGTTCTCCTCACAGCCCTGCAAGGCTCACTGCGATCTTTACATTATTCGGGACTTACGATGCGAAAAATGAGGATGATAATCGCACATTGGATGTTTAGTGTCTACATCAACCAAATGATTAGTTTTATCGATTACTGTAGCCGTGGTATGCATCGTATTGCAAAAAACTCGTGTAGATTGCCAAAAAAGCCCTCAGGTCGTAAGTGTTGACATGGTCAGGTAAATTTTATTAATTCTCGCCGGGCCTATTGTGTTGGTTTTCTACATACGTCCCGGCCAAGCTGGAGGCGGGTACGACCCCCCTTTGCCGCGTCGCCCCTACCTAATTATTGAGCTAGGGCATCGCAAAAAACGAGAATGTGTGCCATTACAAGACGCAGCTACTGGCACAATATTTTAAGGTCTCAGGTCAATCGGTGACCCAAAGCTTAACTGAGGCTAGGTCAAACTTGAGGTTAGGTCAAGTGCCCCAAAGTACGAGATTGATTTTTGCTAAATAACTTCGCCAAAAAATGTCGCAGAGCCGCGATTTTTGCACTATCGTGTTTTCCATGCTTAGGCTGCGCGTCGAATGATATACTCTTGTGTAGGTAAGGTCAGCTTAGGGTTGACCTCGGGTCAAGTTCAGGTCAGAGTCGCTCAGGTCATGAAGTTTGTCGAAGGAAGTCATATCGCATGGCATTCGATTTGTCAGGTCCTATCATGTTCAATTGTTCAGTGGTGGCTTTCCGACTCGCTAGCTCAATTTGATCGGGAGTTATTGACGAAAAACTCCTATGACCTTAATGACATCTTAAATGACATCACGCAATGTAAAAAATGCAGAAGCTAGGGATCTGACCGACCCTGCAGGGAGTGCATTAAATGGCAATTACATGTGCTTTAGGTAGTTCAAGCTCATTTCCGGCGACAAAATAACAGTTTCCACATTTCTCCATAGACTTATAATAGTGAGAGAAGATGGCTGGCCTGACCTCGGGTGACCTTTTGAAAAAAAATATGAGATCACAATGAGATATACTACGAGTTGTGAGGCCTCTGGAGAATACTTGGTCCTATAAGTTTCACCTCCCTGTGAAGGCTCCTCTGGCACTGATGGCATTGCGAAACTGCGACATCATTGGACCGTGCGGATCAGATATGACGCCAGCGTGATAGATCAATGACTTGATTGACCTGAAAATGCGGTTGATGTCACAAGATCTGGCTTGAATCACAGGTCAGCTATGGCAAAGCTCAACCCTCTGTCCTCAACGCGTTCCGAGCTATCGCGAAAAAAAAAAACATGGGGTGACATCCCCTTCGGCCAGCGAGGGTCAAGTTATCATGGACAGAGTGGACTGAATATTAATATTGGTCCATGGTATTAAAAGCTGCCCACTCCTGTCGTCGCTCCGTGCACCCCGGACAGACAGCTGAGAACGGCGGCCGTCGCAGCCCTGTCCACTATTCGATCGATGGCCTCTGGCTGTTCCCCCGGCTACAGGGCCCCAGTGACTCATACCAGTTCTCAAATTAATGGACCGAGCCCGGCAGCCGACCCGTTCCGGAAAGCTACGCTTCGTGGGCGGTAGCTAACTACTGCCGTTACCGTCTTTGGCCAGGCTCCACCTTTTGTGTAGATGGATAATTAGGAACCGCAGTTGAGGCCTGCATTCCCTCGAGTGAAAGTATTCTTAAAATACAAATTATAAATGCAAGAAGTTTCTACCATAAGGTATTGAATTATTGGTCACGTTCCGTACAAATGGCATAGGTTAGCTTTCCTGAAAATTATGGCGAAGATAAAAAGTATTTACATCAAGTTTAACCAACCACACCATTACTTCGATGATACACTGATGCAAGATAGGATGCTCTTAAATTCTATAGGTACAGCATGCTAGTACATTAGTTGAAAGCGTGAGGGTGCATACTGCATGCACAGCACAATGTGCATGTAACGTAACTTATCAGTAAACATCACAAAGAAGTAAACATCTGCTTTGAGCTATCGCGGGCAAGAGAGTACATTGGTCACCGTGCACCGCACCGGACCCCCACAATTCCCCAGAGTGTCGTCCGGCGTCCGTGGCTGGACTCCATCCCTCCAGCCCCTCGGCACCATTTGTTTCCAGTGTCAATCTGGGCCGAAGTCTTTTTGTTCGCCCCCGTGCCGGGAAACAGCTCCCGAGATTAGTCGACCGCGACGCTCAGATCGACTTCAATAGCTCACGGTGCCGCAAGGTTTCAGAGAATTCGCCTCCTGTGTGCAGAACACTGACATTGCAGACGTGATAGCTCCCGCTCAAGTTTCACAATATCGGCCTGTATTCGGTTCAATAAAGCGTCAGCGCTGCCTGTTCTCACTCGCTCTCCAATCCCGAGTCACAGCACCTGCGTGTGTTGTATTTCGCTGCGGAGCGGACGACCGCCGCACTATGGTTGGAAACGGCCTCACGGATGGCCGGGGGTCAACGCGAAAAAATGTTTTGCCCATAACTTGTTAATGCGTAGACCGACTGCGATGAAACTTTGCATAGGTATACCAGTGTCTTTCGTGCATCATACAGTAACTCAGAAATGACGAGGTCACGTCACGTCACGCGTGTGTGACGTCATCATTGCAAGTATGTTATAAGTCGCCTATGTCTTTCGTTATGTTATCGATATCGCGAGGCATTTTGAACATGTTTTGAATACTGCTATTACTGAATGGATATTGTTGTTATGCTTTAGGGCAAGACATATCAACGTAGTGACGCACAGTGTCTTACTATTGGTCATAAACGGTCAAAAATTTGGAGAAAGAGTATTTATGATTTTTTTTTAGATTGGGCAAAAAAGTAAGAAATAAAATGACGATCAAATGACAAAACATGCGTCAGATTAACCCGGCAGTTGCTGGGGTATTTCCCCATCCGCCGTTTGCCCGGGGGGGGGGCGTTCAACGCCCCCAGCCGATAACTCGCGAACAAATAGGCGCAGCGAAGCGCACGAGGCGCGGCAAACGAAAGAAGAACGCGACGAGACGATTCACATGAATACTTTAAAGTTGAATTTCGAGGTCACAGGTCGGGTCAAGGTCAGGTCAAACACTTGAAATCGGGTTTTCAGTAGCATGGACTTTAGAACCTCGCAATCGGTGCCTCGCGTTTCGCGTTTCGATTATATCGTCATCAGTTGGTCCTAAATAAATTCAGTCATCAGTTGGTCCTAAACAATCTGTCACAACTGTCACAACCCTTCATATAAGTGCTAAAAGAGTGTCAGATCAATGTAGGGGTCAGTCAAACATAGGCCACTGGCCAGGGTCAAAGTCAGGTCAATCAGGTAAGCACATAACCCCGAAAATTAAAACTGGTACCTATTCGCAGCCCATGCATGACACATGTTTTATGGGTACTTTTGGGCGTAGAACACGATGGTGACATTCATTTTATCATACGAGTACGTAGCTGGTTGAAAAA